AATTGCTAAATTTTGGTAATTGGCAAATTTTAATTTGGCGAATTAGTGGCCACGTGCCATTGAGCATGTGTATAATGGCTCAAAATGGCGGGTTTTATTCTGGCGAATGGCTATCAAAACGCCAAATTCGCCAAATTTAATTCCCTCCAAAATTTCCCGCTATACGGTATCGGTAATGTAACACCTGAGTCCCTTGATATCTGCCCTCAGCTTTACCTCAAGCAGATATCTCAGTCCTCAGGTATTACATTACTTATACATACACACCTCCAGACACACAGAACTACATGTACATGTATGAATTCCAATTCTTACTGTATGATGAGTTGAGGTAGCCGGTTTTTACTTTTGCCGTTTGTCCAAAGTTAGGTTCAATTTCTTTACCTTCAGCATCAAACTTTCTCTGGCAAGCACCATCAAATTCAATATGGAAGACACAAAAACGATACTACAAAAAAATGTACATGTAATTAAATAATAATTATTATTATTGATAATCATTATTTTTACAAGGAGTGCATGCTCAGTGGCACATGGCCACAAATTCGCCAAACACCAATGAGCTTGGTGTGCTTTGGTGATTTTGATAACACCAATCAAATCACCAAAATTTAACAATTCACCAACTCTAAAATTACCAGCAATAGCATGCAATATTGCTGGTAATTATCAGCAATTATATTATATCAGGTAATTATATTATCATGTACACAGTATCTATAAGTAGCTCTTGCAAGTCGGCAGTAGGTGGGGCTGGGCGACGAGACTAGTGACAATGTATCCTTTCATGTACACATACATGTACATGTACAGAGTAAATACTACACTTTCTATTAATGATTACCTTTTTATTGCTAGTGTCTTGTATAATGTGACGTGTCTTCTTATGAAACACACCCTCCAGCAGTATACCCCTACCACTGGTAACAAGAAATGAGCATTAATTAGAAATACATGTATATAATACAAGTTACCTTTGAAGTTGGCTCGAGTTCCAGTCGCTCTTCCACTTACTGACCTTCACCCCCTCCTGCTGTAACGGGGTATCATCATATATCATGTGCATTCGACTCATTTTGAGTGTTAAGTGTTTAGAGGCTAGTCTCAAATTTCAACTCCTCCTTCTTCTCCTCCTCTTCAGTTTCCGTTCATTTCCGGATAGATCAACTCATATTCCGGATACTTAGATCTGAATGGCTTCATGATGGCTTGGCCAATGGGCAATGGCCGCCGGCCGGAGTGGCCGTAGTACTGTTGATTGCAGTTCCGTTCGAATGGAGCGTGCTGCGTGAGTATCTTTCCGTGGATGTGTTTATTAGGATCACGTGATCCTCACGCATACGCACTGGGTGACGCATTTGAACG